ACGGAGGAAGACCCGCAGCAACCAAACACGTGGCGACTGGATCCTCAAGGTAAAGATTGGTCCTTTCCACAATGGCACTGGTTTGCTTGCGGTTAGGAACAGAGTTGTCAAATGGGATTTCCATCGAGTTAGCGGCTTTCTCAAATTCCTCAGCGTTGTCTCCATACAACAGTTTGATCTTTCTATCGCCCATGAAGAACTTGAGGGAATTCCTGACGTTGACTTCAGATCTCGTGTCTACCGGATAGGCACCAATGAAATTAGTATAGACGTCTTTCACGGTGAGCATCTTCATGACAAAGTCATCATCCATTTGGTCTTCGGGAAACACAAAATCTAGCGTCACAACGTCACCCCATTCTTTTAACTCTCTCTGAAAGGCTCCTTTCTTAGTGTACAAGTGTCTCATCTTACCCCGAACACAGGCCTGACAGTAGGGGTTCTTAAAGCGATGAGAAATCAAGTGCGCCATTGACACTGCCTCATCTTTTAGCTTTCTTTTGGGAACTTTCACCGGTGCTCCATTATTCTCATCAACTAAGACCACGCCGGATCCTCTTCCAGCGCTACCTCTTCGGACTCACTTCGCTCAGCTTTGTCCTTGTCCTGTCCTCCAGCCGGGATTCCCGAGACTGGTGGTTCAGCGCCTCTTTCATCTGCCTCAATGGATCTTATGGCATCCTCAATCATTTCATCCGCAGGATCCTTATGTTCTGCTGGCACGGCTGGCTTGTTGTCGTCATCTACAGCGCTCCGGAGATGTTCTATCAAGCGCGGAATAGACAACTCATGCGTGGGCTCAACCGGTTGGCACCTGGGATCTCCGGAAATATGATAGGGAATGTCATCCTCAACAGCAAAGGCAACAAGCTTACCAGTGGGGGTTATAAGGTATGGATGCTTGCCTGACAACCAAACAAAGTGGTACCCCTCTTGCACACATCTCCTTCCGATGGAAAGAACAGAGGGGGTGTCAGGAAGAACATATGGTTCAACGCTCTCATCAAACTCAACGATGTTCATGGTAACCACATCCAACCCCTTAGTATTGCCATTTGCGGTCTGAAGCTGAATGGGGTCCTTCGCCTTCGATCTCCGTAGATTGTGATCTTCAACCTTAGCCTTGGAAATCAAATCTGACCCACACCCAGTGTCCATAATCCATTGGTGGCCCGCATGGTCGTTGTCCCTGCTACTCTCCTCATCCCCAGATGTGTCCTCCGACACGGAGGCAAGGGCTCTATGCTCGCTTTTGAACTCAGACATGACGATATCGTGCACTACGCTATCGCTCTCCTTGTTGTACTGGACTACCCAGGTCATTCCAGGTCCTGCCCAGGCCTTCTTATTCTTGAATCGTCTTCTAGAGGCGACCTCGTGTAGAAGCTCTCCAGCGGCAATGGCAGCCTCAGTTTGAGCCTTGATGTTCTCGATGCGATCTGGGCTCTTAAGGAAGGAGGGATCACACAACCTGGGGTTACGATGTCTTTGGTACGGATCCTTGGGGGTCCTCCATCGCGCTCCACTCTTGACAGGAATGACGAAGGTCATGGTGTTGATTACAGTAGAAAAGCTTACGCTCTTCTTCTGCTTTGGCACCGTAGCTGACGTAACCGCAACTTTAATTGCAGGAGCAGCCGGTTTGTCTACCTTGTGTGAGTCGGGACACTTGTCACCCCGACTACAGCTTCCCTTTTGAAAATCCCTGCATGCCCTATCTCCCCTACCCTTAGGCGAAGCACTCCTGGAACGTAGCGATCCCATCTTCTCAGCCTGTTCTCTAAGCTTGGTATCATACGCGAACGGGCAATTCTTCCCATTCCTGCAATCCCTCTTAACCAGATAGAAGTAGCATGGGCGCTTGTCACCTGATGGCGAATTCGATCGTCCGCCTCTTCCTTTTCCCTTACCAGGATGTGGATGCGCCTTAGCCTTAGGGTCAGGGACTACGGGAGCACTGGGCTTGTCGGGCTTGTCACCTTTCTCCTTCTCTTTCTTCT